TTGTTTTTACTAAGATTGAGTTGAGTTTTTTTTTCTTCTTTTTGCCTTTCATCTCAGCTTAAAAACCTTTACCCCACTAAGAAATGAAAAAAAAGCAAAACAAAAAAGAAAATTCAGTGAACAGTGTAAAAGTTGTTTTTTGTTTTTTTTTTTTTTAATTTATATATTTAACTAAACTAATTAATTTTCAGGCTATTTTGATGCAAATTTCATTAAGTTATTATAATTGAACTGTTTAGGTTATGTGGCAGGTAAAAAATGGCAAAAACTTCGTCGACGAAAAAGCTATGAATCGCCAACAAATAAACGGGCATTAATTCGTCTGAATTCACAGAGGTAAATGCAACTGTTTATTATTTGTTTGATAATAACTAACTGTACCCATACCCATCTAAATTATGTCTTTTGTCCGGGGTAAGTACAATCAACAAGCAGTACTTAGACACTGAAAAAATGTACAGTTTTATAATGATTCTAAAGTAAAGTAAGAAATAGAAAAAAGAAAAAATTTTTATATGTAAATAAAATATGGCTTTAGCAGAAAGAAAAAATTTTTTCTTGTTAGATTAGTCTACGAAATGAATAACAGACAAAATTGACGTCAACTTCTTAGTAATCCTAAATAATTTTGTTGTTTGTCTACAGGTAAAAATTGTTGATCTATCAAATAAAGTCACCAAAAAAAAATTAAAAAAATGAAAATATAATTTTTGCAAATTATATTATCTCTATATTGAGAAATTATTTTTGTCATTGAAAAAGTGATAATACCTAAAGTTGTTAAAAATTGCAAAAATATTTTTCCATGAAAACAACAATGTGTGCAAACAACAAACAACAACAACAACAGCAACAGCATTTTCAATAGCTATTAATTTGGTGGACATACGACAAAAAATTTTATTATATAAAAAAAAAAGAAAACTATTGTGGTTTTTTTTTTTTTATTCAACTCCATTTTTGCAACTATATTGTTAGAGAATATTATTTCCAAGAGGAAAAATTGCTGCAACAAAGAATAAGCAGTTTCAACTTTTCCTTGTTTAAACCTCCTCCCAATCCTACCACCTCCTAATCCCAATACCTCATTTTTCTTCCAGAAAAAAAAAATAAATAAATTGGTGAACATATTTGTTGACCTTTTAGTAATATGAAAAAAAAAAATGGAAAGAAAAAAAGAAGAAAAAAGAAGCAAAAAAAAAAATTTAGAAGAAGGGGGGTAAAAAAAAAAAGCACGCATACATCCGCATTACATACTGATGTTTTCCTGTTACTCAACCGTTGTTGCTGCTGCCGCTGGCGCTGCTGTTGTTGTTGTTGTCGTTGTTGTTGTTGTTGCTGCTGCTACTACTACTCCTTTTGCTTCTTCAGCTCCTTCTGGTGCCATTTTTGGTTCTTGTTGATGAAAACGGTACTGCTGATGCTGTTATTATTAATGTATATAGTTTGGACTATAAAAACTGAATACAATAAATTTTTTATATTTTCACTCTTAATTAAAACCAAGTGACTTCGTCGTCAAAGTAAATTTTCCCCCATCCTCATCTCCTCAACCATTTGCACTTCGTCTTCCCGTGTCTTTCCATCAGTGGACCGAACTGGTGGAAAAGAAATTTTTTTTTTTCATTTTTTTTATTTTTTTGATACTGCATTTCGTTTTGGATGCCAAACAACAATTTTTATTTAAGCCTTACAAGGCAATTTTTGTTCATTTGTCTAAAGTTTTCTCCATTTGGTTCATGTCTACGATCAACGCACTGCCGTTTAGTGAACAATAAAAGGGGAAAAAATTTAAGGTTCGAAAGCAACTTTTTTTAATATTTTTAATTTTACTTTTTTCTTTTTTTTCAATTAACATTAGTCTTTATTATTATTATTTTTCTTGTCAATACTTTGATACTGAATAAAGCATAAAGCAGTAATAGTTGAACTTTTTTTTTTTTCTTCTTGACATATTATAGTCAGCAGTAAATAGGTGTAATAACCGGTGTTAAGAAGCATAAGTTTTCTACTGTCGTAAATAGTTTAAATTACATTCCAAAAGTGATAACAAGAACATAGAAAGAAGGTAACTGAAGGCAAAAGGAGAGACAGGTGATTAAGTTTCTTGTGACAGTCTCAAAAATTAGTTATTGTTTGTTCACAGCTATAATGTAGTCCAAAAATAATTTTCTTAAAAAAAAAAAAAAGAAAAACAAATAAAGTAAGGAAGAAAAGCGAAGAAATGAATCAAGTTCTTTTACTGTATAATAGTACTGTTATTTGCCATTTTAGTTGCCAAGTACAGTTAATCAAGGCATTACAAGGAACTGAAACTGATGCAACAATGCGTCATCTGGTTGCTACTACCATCAGTGAATTAGACCTTCGTGAAAAGACTGAATTTGTTGAATCGCTTCGTAATGTAAGTGTTGTTGTTGTTGTTGTTCATGGATTTTTTTTTACATTAATTTTGGCTGCTTATAACTGAGTACAATTGAAACAAAAAAATTTTTATTGCTACACAATAATCAAAGATCATTCTGAATTCCAATTAACATGTGATATTTTCCTGAGTAAAATATGCAGTTCATAAGTTAAGATTAGAAAAAAAAAAAGAATTTTTTTTTTTTCATTTACAGCTAATAATTGGTTAGCTGATTAACAATAACTTTTAAAGTAAATAATAAAAAAACTGTAAAAAAGGTTAGAACAAAAAAAAAAAAGTCTTACTGTGTTCGAGTAGACAGTTAATCAAATAAAACGGAACTGATCGGAATGGTAATAACTTTTTTGTGCTTTTTAAATTTCTCTTTGCTGTCGCACTGTCTATTTCTCTGCTTTTTTTTAAACATTGTCTTTTACTATACCCTCTGCTTCTCTGCATCTCTTAGTTGCTCATCGATTTCGTTTAATCAGACTTTTGAGAAAACCAAAAAAAAAAAAAAAAAATTGTGCTAAAAAACCGTTGTTGTAAGCGGAGAAACATTTTTTAGGTGCTGATACCATTTACAATTGAAGGAAATGCTTGCAAAGCATTTGAATGTACAAGTGCCGATTTGGAGAATGTTCTAAACGCCAATAATGTCGATTCACTGATAGAACTATGGAAGCTGACATTTACTCAAATCATTCCGACATTGGATGCTATGCTTTACCCTCTGAAGGTTTATTACTTTTTTTACAAACAATAAAGTCTACTTTTTTTTTTTTGTTTTCCCTTCTCAACGTACATTATATTCTCATTTATTTTCTGCTCTTCCTTTTTCACAGCTTTTCATAACCGTTGTTTGAAAATATTATTTACCATTTAGTTTGTAATTTTAAGTTTTGAACTTTTTGCAAAATGAAAAATAGGATAAAAAACATGGCTTCAATGAAGAAAAGGGGAAAAAAAAACAAATGTCTTTTTTTGCTTACTTATTTAAAAAAAAGAAAAAACAAAGAGGAAAACATGCTTTTTTTGTTTAATTTTTTACTAAAACAATGCTTTTAAGGCGTCTATTGGCCCTCTTTATTTGTTTTTATTTGTTTTTTTTTTTTTCTTCAGGTTTTCGACAGCACATTTGATCTTCGAAAAACAATCTTGGCAGCATTCAGGGATCGTGTTTTGTCTAGAATACTTTTGAATGTTCGAATTTCATTGCCCAGTATACAGTCAATAATTTTTTATATTTCATTTGTTACCGCTGACAACAGCACTGAATATGTCACATTTAACAGTATTGCTGATAAGGCATTGGGTCTAAAAACTGATGAACCGGAGTCGTCTGAAGCCGACAATGGCAGTAAAAATTTGGAAAAGGTAATAAATATTTCTTTTCTTTTGACGTAATTATTATCTATTATTGGAAGAACAAAAAATAATTTTATATATATATCTTTTCTATTTTATAATCTTTTTTCTTAGGGTACATTTTTTGTGCTTTTTAATTATTTGCTCTACATTAACTGTATATTAACAGTTTTATAGCTGTAAGTATAAAGCTGTTTTTGATATTTTTATCAAAATAATCCATTTCTTTTTTCCCACTTTTTTTTCTTCAGCTTTTCAACATTTTTTTATGTTGTCATAAATTTTACTTTTATTATATATTTTTGTCATATATATATTTTTTTTTTTAATATAAATTTATTTTAAAAAAAGACTGATAGGCTAAAATGGAGAAAAGTTTTGCAAAATATCTTATTTAAAAGTAATTAAATAAAAAAAACTTTTAAACTAGACTTCACTAAGTAATCATTATGCTTAAGTCTGATAAAATCTGAAAAAAAAAAAAGGTGAAAAGAAATCTTTTTTAAACTTGGATCTTAGTTTCTGCTGATGACCTTAACATGTTTTTTTTTAGTCTCTATATTAAAAGTAAAAGCTAAAAAAAGCAAGGATGGGGAAAGAAAAAAAAAAGAGAAGAAATTGCTGGTGTAATATTTGTGCA